CAAAGAAAAAAAGAAAAGATAAAGATATTAATATATATATATATATATATATAGAGGGAAGAATCCAACACATATCAAGAGTAATATGGCAATATCAATTAAAAAAAGGCTTATTCTTAGTCATAAATTCGACATTCATTCTATCCTAATTGTGAAGACAAGAATCATTTGCAAGTCTCAAATGTAAATATTCCACACAAAAGTGTTGGTTACCGAATCGAATTCGGATGTGGAAGTGTGGCGGGGAGGCGGATCGTGTATAACAAAAATTTTCATAAAATTTTTGAGATACTCTATAGATTATATTAATTTATGTACGAATAAATTAATCACATTAATTTATATGTCAAAAACTCAATTAGGAAAAATACTTGGAGGCCGACTCGGATGATAACTTGAGTTCTTTTGACCACGAACAATCCTTGCTCAAATCTTTGTGTTTAGAAAACTAAAGTCTTCCACGTCAATTCCTTGATTCCACGTAGACATGTGTGTGGGCACACGTGAGACAAAACAGGTTCAAAAAACACTTGAATTTTCGCAAACACCAACGCATGCACGATGTGAAATTTTTGGGAGAAAAAATTTTCCTCTCACTCTCTCTTGAGAATTTCGGCCAGCCTTAACTATTAGGGCAGAAAAATTGTTTCAATAATTGTGTCCACAATTTTATATCATTCTCATATTTAAAGAGTAGAAGTCAAACTTTAAAAAAGGAATCAAATCTCTATCTCATATTTGAATTTGGAACAAAAAATCTCCTACACCTTATCCCTTAAGTGGCCGGCCACCCTAAGGTTTTTCTCCCTTGTGTGTGGCGCCAATTTCGGATAGGGAAGGAAGAGAAATCATCATTTATCCTGTAGTCCAATTTTAATTCAAATTCAAATTCGAATTTAAGTCAAACTTAAATTAATTTGAATTCTAAATTGAATAACTTATCAAATAAGTTTAAAAGGATAAATTTAAATTATGTTCATTATTCAAATTCAAATTTAAATAATCACATTATTTAAATAATAATTAATTCTCAAATAATTATTTTTTGAGTATTTAATTTTAGAATTTCATAATTCTAAAATTCTCATTTTGTCCTTTGTGTCTATTAGAATAACAAGGACGACGCGGAGAAGACTTATGGACCTATAATCCCGAGCTCCAATAAAATTAATGATTAACTTTAATTAATTAATTAATTCTATTAATTCCAATACTTACTCCACTATAAACTTGGAATTGAACTCTCAAAACTATAGACATTAATTACTTCTAAACTGTGAAGTGTCCATTTGATATAGTCATTACATATAGATCAATCCTCCATAAATAATTCATAATTAGAGTCAGGTAGAATCTGTTAACCTCTCTAATTATATCTTCATCATTAAGTACCATTGATTCTCTAATGGATAGTGATTCATGAAACACATTCATGAACCAGAGCGCTCTTACTAATCCAAGTACCGAATCAACACTTAAGAGAATTATTTATCTACTTCTTTCTCAAGAAGGAATGGATTCCATCTCGTATAATAACATTCTCGTATAATAGGATTCAGGGTCTCGGAATCCGAACTAAGTAAATCAAAAGATATAAATCCATAAATAGGAATTTGTTAAGAACTCAGGATTAATATCATTCTGTATATGACCATCAGTAGACTCAATTAGAATTTCTATGCTTAACAGAAATTATTAGAAATTCATATTGTGTTTGTGTCCCTGTTCCACACAATCTCATTATGCGAAATATACTATTTCAATATCTCACCATATTAACAGTGCGGATAGCACCGTTACATTCTAAATGAGAATGACATGTATTAATAATATTTTAATTAAGATTCTGAACTTTAATTAAATTCATTATGAACAATAATTTTGATTATTATCCTTAAATACTATCCTCTCATATATAACACTTATATACTATGTTTTAAGGTTACATAAATAATCATGAAATTTTCATTTGATATTCATAAAATATTCATAAATATATGCATATAAAATGATGAATAAACTCTTTTATTAATTAAATAATAAATATCTTATTACATCTTATGCTTCTAGGATACTATTCCCAATAATAAGATCATGCTTTTTTTTTTTTCCGACATCATGCCATTTTTATAATCAATGGACATTGTTAATTAACTACATCAAAGATTACTAGTCAGTTAATAATCACTAGTAAAAGAAAATAAAATAGAATAAAAACCATCAATTTAGCTCACTTTTTTTCCTTGGTCTTCAATTTTGGTAGTTATTGTCCAGTATTACAGCCGAATACTGACCAATATCTCAGGTAGATATCAATATTACGGTCAGATACCAATTGATATCATAGTGGATAGTATCCCAACCATATTGGTAACACAGTTGGATACTAATTAGTATCACAGTAAATATTGATATATTTGATATTTAAATATAATATGCTGACATGATCGCGTTATTTTTTTGTAAATATATTTTTATCTTCATGAGTCAATCTAAATTCCAAACTTAAATTTTGTGAAGGTTGTTCTTTTGCAACGAAATTAAAAAAAAAATTTTAATTTAAATTATAACTTTATTTAAGTTCATGTTCTTTTATAAATTTGAGTTTGAACTCGAGTTTGAGGCTAAACTCGAGTTTAAATTTCCTTTTCAACTCGAGTTCATAAACTCAAACTCAAGTTAATTAACAGTATTTTTTTTATTCTTAAAAATGTCATAATTTTTTCGTTTTAATTCTGATTGAGATGATTTTTTTCCTGTGCATCACCCATATATCATATTAAAATTTTGCATCATCATTGAGTTTTTATTAAAATATTATTTAAATACAAATTTAAGTTTTGACCCACATAAATACAAATTTAAATAGATTCTCAATTTAAATCATAACTCAAATGTGCGCATCTAAATACAAACTCAAATTATAACTCAAATTTAAGTTAAAATTATCACTCAAATTAGCTTAACTAAAAAATATAAAAGAACAACTTAGGGCTTGTTCTTTTAGAGTTTAACTTGAGTATAATTTTTGAGTTGAATTTGAGTTATAACTTGAGTTATAACTTGAGTTGAACTTGTAACTTGAGTTATGGTTTGAGATAAGGAATCTTTTTGAGTTTGTGTTTGAGTGAGTCAAAACTTAAATTTATATTTAGATAGTATTTTAATAAAACTTTAATGTTAATGGAAAAATTTTAATAGGGTATATGAGTCGGGTTTTATTCATCTTTTCGTTATCAACGCATAGAAAAAAAAAATCATCTCAATCAAAATTAAAACAAAAAAATTATAACATTTTTAATAATAGAAAAAATACTGTTTATTAATTTAAGTTTGAGTTTCTGAACTCGAGTTGAAGAGAAAACTTGAACTCAAGTTTTAGTTATAAACTCGAATTTAAACTCAAATTTAAACTCAAATTTAAACTTAAAAAAATATGAACTCAAATAAAATTATAACTCAAATTATTTTTTTTTTTAAATTTTTCGCTTAAAAGAAAAACCCTTCCGAAAATCAGACTTGATACCTCTGTTTGCTACCCCGCCGTCGGTACCTTGCAAACGTTCTTTTTTTTTTTTTTTTTTCCTTATCACACAGTTCCAAAAAAACGCAAACTAGCAAAAAAGAGTTTGAAACTTTGGAGTTTGGACGGCAAAGATATGCGTTAGAAGGCACTCAACCCGAGGCAACTTTTTGTCTGGGACCCACATCTTTTGGCCGTGCTGTAGATCCAACTGGAGTTTTGCATCTCCTCCTCATCAAGCCACTCAATAATTACCAGATCATCCAACGTGGCAAAACTTCACTGGCTCATCACAAATCAAGTAGGCCCCACAGAAAGTAATATCCAGCTGTGCCAAGTGCCTCTTTTTTACGCCAAAAAAAAAAAGAAGAATTTAAGCGCGTAATAACTCCCGCAATCAAAGTATATTAGTGGGATAGGAGGGTCCGTAAAATCGTTTACTTCGAGATCACGTGCACCTAATCAAACGATTTAGTGGGCCCCAGCCAGACTGTGTCAGACGCCACATTGCGTTTTGTTGGATTCTCCCGGTCGGTGTGGTTCTACCAGGCCCGAACCTTCTTCTTTTTTCACTCTCTATTATACGTTGATACATCCAACGGCTAATTATGGGCCCACTTTGACAAATGGGTCCCAATTTTGCGTCTGGACAGTCCAGATTTATCCCCATTTTCGACCGTTGATGGATGAGATGGGCTTCTTCCACGGGCCTATATATTCGACTCCTCCACCTTTATCACCTTCGTCTCCCTCCTCTCTCTCTCTCTCTCTCTCTCAAATCGAAGAAAGAAGCCATGGACAGGAAAAGCGCAATCGTAGTGGCCTTGATCTGCATTGTCGTCGCCGGCGTCGGAGGCCAAAATCCGACTTCCGCGCCGACAAAGTCTCCAGCGACACCCACCACCACTGCTCCAGCCACGTCCCCAGCCGCCGCGCCGACAAAGCCAAAGTCTCCAGCTCCAGTTGCCTCTCCAACTTCAACTCCTCCGGCTTCATCTCCGGTCTCAGCTCCACCAAAACCAGCGGCGCCAGCTCCAGCCGCGAATCCGCCAGCATCCACACCCCCGGCGGCGGCTCCAGTGAGCTCTCCACCGGCTCCTGTTCCCGTGAGCTCCCCTCCAGCTCCTGTTCCGGTCAGCTCTCCGCCGGAGAAAACTCCACCAGTTTCATCGCCGACAACATCACCGATGACCTCTCCTCCGGCCGCTCCTGTTGCCGCGCCAGTGGCAGAAGTTCCGGCTCCGGCTCCGGCTAAGAGCAAGAAGAAGAGTAAGAAGCACAAGTCTTCGGCGCCTGCGCCGGCTCCGGAGCTGCTCGGCCCCCCTGCGCCGCCGACGGAAGCCCCCGGACCGAGCTCAGACGCTTCCTCTCCCGGTCCTTCCTCGGCCGACGACGTGGTACGTTTGTGGTTTTCTGTTCACAACTTCTAATGTTTTGTTATGTCTAAGTTATAACTTCTAACCTACGCGTCGGTGGCGCAATGCGCCTCCAGATCTGAAACGCATTGCACTTTTGTGTTAAGAAAAGAAAAGAGAAGGCACTGAACCTTCGCGGCGCACGATAGCGGGATCTGATTAGGTTTTCTAAAATGAGCCGAGATTTCATTTTTCGTGCTTCGTGATTTCTGTTTAGTGCAGACAGTGTTTGGTCTTTAGTTCCGGAGTTCATGAGTGAAAGTGTGTGTCTCCGGGTGAAAGAAAATAAACAAATCGAGACTATAAACGACTATCTCACGCGCAAGAAGGAGCGTGTTACACACCTTCCCTAGAATTCTTCATCACAAACAGTTTAGTGATCCCACGCGCCGCCAAGGGTTTTTATGGGTCAGAATCTTATAACCAAGATAATTTGATTTTTAATTACCCACTTGGATTACATACACAAAGCATTGTCAGAATGCCATTATGTGAGTCACACGTTTCGGTAGATCGTTAGATGACAGCAATAACTGATGTCAATTCGAATTACTAAAAATAAAACAGCGATTAGTTAGATAATTAAAATAATTAACATTAATAGAAAAGTCTAATTAATGGAATTATATAAAAATTGATTATTTTGGGTTTTGAAAAATGTGGATCCAAATCTTGCAGAGTGGAGCCGAAACGATCATCAGCAGTGTGCACAAGTTGTTGGGGGGCATTGCATTGGGATGGGCGGTGCTCGCTTTGATCCTCTAGAGAGAGACACTTCTCATTATTGTCGTTATTATTTTAATCATTTTTTTTTAAAAACCCTCATGTTCTTCTCTCTATAAGTACTGTGGACTTATTAGTTTATTCAACATTTTATTTACCATTTGTTTTTCTATAAACTAATGGTGGATTTGATTCGTTTTTGGGATTTGCCACACACATTAATATTGCTTGTATTCTTTTGGAAGACTTATGAGTAGAGTGTGAGGGGAAATACTTGTTCTTACTTTTTGTATTGAGTTTAATTTTTACCTTCTATTTTTTGGGTAATTATATCTGGGTACAGTTGCCTCTCTCTTTGTTCATTGTAGGGTTTTTTTTTTTTCAACTTTTTAATGGAAACTAAGTAAACCATATAAAAGCAAAGGAAGAACAAAAAAGAAGGGAGTCATTATTATTGATTGTTCCAACAAGATGGAAAAAAGAGAGAAAAAAAAAAAGAAGAGCAATCTGTTCCAGATTATGCTATTGGCTTTTTTTACTTCATTTGGTTAATATGATATATAGGGGTGGCAATTCGTATCACGTCTTGTATTCGTGTCGTGTTTTGATCATTTTTTTTAAATTTGTAGTCAATCTGAATATGACCCATGACACGAAATTTTTTAAAAACCGCAACACGAACACGACACGATCACTTTACGAGTTGACACGACACGACTTGAAAATGACTGGTGACACGAAATTGACTCGTGAATCCGAAATTGACACAATAACATCCATTGAAATTAAGTAAATAATAGTATAAGATTTTGAGTACAATTATCATGATATCACAAGTTCATAATAAAATTTAAAATATGAAATGAAAAATATGTATTTTTTAGTTTTTTACGAGTTTCGTGTCGTGTTTGGGTTAGGCGGGTCCAACTCAAAATTGATCCGTGTTTTTCGTGTCAATTTCAGGTCGACCCGATTCTGACCCGAATCTCTTTTTTCTCGACCTTAACCCGCAAAATTTGTGTCGTTTTCGAGTCGTGTCGTCGTGTCGTGACCTATATTGCTGGCCCTAATGATATACGTCATTGCATACATAGATGAAAATGTCTATATCAATGGGATTGTATAATGTCGATGGAAATATGTCGATGGATATTCCGAGAAGAAATAAATACTTTAAGAAAACCTTCAAATTTATTATTCAAACTATGGAAAATATTAAAAACAATCAATATTATTTAATTTGGACTAATTTAATAACAAAAATAATATTTTGGTCGGAATGTGAGAGTTATGTGAAATAGTATAATAAGAAATTATCATAATTATATACGGATTGTGATTCAAATATAATTTTACATACATGATATAAACAAGGCACAATAATTATATATAATACATGAAAATTAATTATCAAACAAATAGTACCCACAAACTTAAAGTGTTTTAAGTACCAAAACGAGTTTTTAGCAGGTTGGAAAGCGCATTAGGTAGCTTCTGATCTTGATCTAAACAAATTTTCCACAATGTATGTTTTACCCTTGAATAATTCTGAAGGTAATTGTTGATGTGCCACATGTATATTTTTTAATCTCTTCCTACTGTTAATCCATAAATTGGATATTGTTAGTTCATCTAACTTGGTTTTGTGCTTCTGAAGTATATCTTATGTGAGAATTATATAGATGATTATAATCATATGAACTTTGTTCAGTCCCTAAGCTCATGGAATCAACTTAGGAAATCAAAACTCAAGGCCACATAATAGTCATCATTTTTTTTGACTTATTTGAGTCACACCACATCTTTTTATAAATTATTTTTCAATTGCCCTAATACCAGGACCTGCTTCGTAGACCTATGATCTTTATTTGTATAGCATGAGTAAAATTTTCTTCTCTAGTATTTAAATATGAATCACTAATTTAAAAAATAAAAATTATTTTAAAAAAACAATTAAATCTTAATATTTTTTTATTTCTTTTGATTTGAATCATGTTGTCACATTTTATTGAAAAAAATGTACTACAAAATTAATTTTTGTGCAAAAAAATTTTCCGGTATTTTTGGACATTTTGTGGACATTTCTAAAAATATCCTGGATATTTACATATATTCACAGATTTTATGGATATTATTAGACATTGTGGATATTTTATGGGTGCACTAGGAAGAATATCTTTCCCCCCGTTATCTATGTCAAGACTTTAAAATATGAATAATGTCGTGAAAATGTCGAAAATGTTGTGGACATTTTCATCCATGGTTGCATATAACATTTTTATCTCTCGGCCAAAAAAAAAGTTACATATTAACTTTTTTTTTTACATATGAATGTAAAATCCAAAGCTAAAGTCTCATTCATTTTACCGATTTGAGTTTTCAATTATATTTTTTTACAGTAATAACTTTTATAAAAAATCACATCTAACTTTTTCTGTTATAGTTAAAAACTTTTCATATAAAGTCGCATCTTAACTTGAATTGAAAACTCGAGTAGGTAAACTGAACGAGGCATTCATAAAACAGCTTCATCATAAGGCCACTTGGGTTATTGCCTAAGGTCTCACGAGAAGGTCCCAATTAATTGGATCTATTATCGCTATATACTTATGTATTATTAATATTTTTTGAATTTTAAAGTATACAAACTCTTCACTTTATGAAGTAGTGAAGCGTGAATTTACCGTTATACATGCAGCCATCACTTTGACCTTATTAGCCCAACAAAAAGTTTTAGAGAATGGAGAGCCACAATGGAATTTTTAGAGTTAAAACAATAACTATAACCTAATATTATCAAACTTAACAGTTAAAAAAAATCTCCTAATAATTAACAAATCTTTTAATTAAGCACTCAAACTACCTAATTTAGAGATATATCTTTTTTTTTTTTTTTTTTATAGAGATATCACATGGAACATTCTTTGTTGTTTGTTTGTTTTTTTTTTTCCAATAAACGTTTAATATTCTAATTACCTTTCAAAGTCTATTCTTTAGATATCAAATACCTCTTTTTTGTTTTTCAGTAATTATTGATTTCTTACAGAATTTTTTTAATTCGTAAAAAATATTTGCAAAATAGATCATAAAACAAAATTTAAAGATTCAATCAATTTTGTTTTAGTTTTTGAAAATGACACTTTAAGGGCTTGTTAGGTAAAGGGTTCTACGGGTTTGAACCCCTGGTTCAATAGAACCTTTGTTTGGAACTTTAAAAAACAAATTTTAGTTGAAATCCTGATGAGACATTTAAACCTCTCTCAACCCTAAAAATGAGAACCCACGGGTGCGTTTGGAATTGGTTCTAAAATATTTTTGTTTTCTGTATGAAAATAGAAATGAAAACGTTTTCATTTTCATTTTAAAATTATTTTTGAAATGCGTTTAGTAGTTTTATTCAGAGATTGATTTCAGTTTTAAAAAAAACTGAAACTGCGTTTGGTGGTTTAATTTTTGAAAACATGTAATAATATTTAAAATAATAACATATTAAATAAATAATATTATTAAATATATTAAATAATAATATATTAAATAAATATATTAAATAAATATCATTATAGAAGACAAAAACGGTTTCAGAAAATAGAGAGAAGAAAAAAAAAAAAAATGAAATCCGTTTTCAGAAAACAAAAACGAGAAAATGAAAACACTTTTTTTTCGTTTTCAATTTTTCACAAATGACAAAAACAGTTTTGTTTTTGTTTTTAAAAAATTTTTAGGCCAAACACATTTTCTGTTTCCATTTTCATTTTTTAATCTCAAAAAGCGTGAAAAATAGAAATAAAAACGGAAACAAACAGGGCCCACCTCTCTTTGGGTTTTGTCTACTTTAACTCATACAGTTCCAATCTATTTTTTTACACACATCTATGGTTCAAACCTAAAAATTTAAATCACTTTAGATTTGAAGCCTCACACCAAATTTGCCCTAAAGGGCCTAAGAGCATCTCTAAGGTAGCTTTTTAAATTTTAGTTAAATTCTAGTTAAAATTGTTAGAAAGCTATTTTAGCTAGAAATTTTTTTATAGGTCACTCTAATTATACTATCTATTTTAACTAAACATAGATTATTTTAATATTTATTGAATTTAAAATATGAATAATTTTATTTAATTTAAAAAAGAATATTTGCATTTATTGTGGTTTGAAATAATAAAATAATAAAAAAACAAATGGTTAGACATTTATTGCTAACTATATTTAGCTAGTGTGAAATGCATTCTTTAAAATAGCTAATGGTTGGAGTGAAAAAAAAGATAAAAAAGCTAAGTCATTAATCATTTTAACTTAAAATATGAAATGACTAGTATAGTTAGAATTGTTCTAAGCATCCAAAATACTTGAACAATCCCTGCCTAAGACCATCACAAAAAAAAAAAAAGAAGAAGCGAAATTATTATCACCGTGACAAAATATATGTAAAAAAAAAAAAGAAAAGAAAAGGGAAACGTGAATATATAGAACAAAAGTAGTTGTTGGGTAATTACGTTGCATTAAATTCAAGCAGTTTACGTTAAATATTAGCAGTTATAGGAATAAATGACTGCAGGTTCAATATTAGCAGTTATAGGAATAAATGACTGCAGGTTCAATTCATTGTTTCGTTTAATCGTGAGGAAATGAGATAAATATTTTTTATAGTGCATAGTTTAAAATTTTATTTTTATTTTTAATTAATATTTTTTAATTAAATAATTTTATTAATTAAAAAGATATTAAATAAGAGTAAGAGATAAAAATTTAAACTCATACACTTTAAAAGTGAGTTCAACAATTTTCTAAAATCTTTACTCTAATCTGCATCTTTAGCTTTCAAAAATTGTAATGAGGCTTTTTCTAAAAAAAATTTCCCAATAAAATGGAGAAAATAGTTTAGTTTAATAGTGAATATAAAACTCTTCTCCCATATAAAATGAAAATTGATTTTCTTCACTAGATATATCATAAAAACTGTCGGTGCTTGTTAACAACTTTGGATACTTTACTGAAAAAATAAAAATAATCTGTTTAAAGAATAGTTTCAAATCCAAATATACAATTGCTTGCTCCATGTGCCTCCCTTTGAAGACAAAAGAATAACAAATGTTCCGGCCCTCCATGTCTTTACGGCTAAGGGGCCTTCTTTAGTTAAAGAATCATTTTCGTGGAACAAAATCATTTATTAATAGACAGAATATTTTTTTTATTACATAGAAGAATATGTGTGTTTACTCAAAATATATATATGGATGCGTAGAGAAGACTATTTGGTTCTACCATTATGAATTATGTTTTAAATTTGAATAAGTTTTTAAATAGTCTAATTTACTGTTGGAGTAGTTTTATAT